AATTTACCAGTCAATATGTGCTCCAACCTATGGTCATGAGCCTCTTGGTAATGACTGAAAGAATACGTTTGTGGGTACAAGCGACTGAAATTAGTTTTCTCTGGTGTCTGGGCTGACCCTGAGAGACAGGCAGCGAAGCTCGGACATCCAGGAGAGACTCAGAATAGAGCTGCTGCTCCACACCATTTAAAGGAGCCAGTTGAGATGACTTCTGGTGGAAGTGTTCCAGGCATGTCCAACAAGGAAGAGACCCCAGGGCAGACCCAGGAGAGATTATATATATCGGCTGGCCAGGTGAATGCCTTGGGATCCCCCAAGTTGAGCTAGAGGAAGTGACCAGGGAAAAGGACATCCTTAGCCTGCTGTCCCCGCAACCAAATGAATGGACAGATGGATCTCTGGTCTGCATCAAAAAGGTCTTTATTGGGGCTGTTAATTTAACACTAATGATAAAAAGAAACGATGCAATTAAAACCATTAACATTTCAGGTTAATTTATCACATGTTGTGTAATTAATTCTATTAATAAGATTGATTGACAGCCCTATAGTTTTAAGCCTAGGTATTATAGGCATTAAACACAAGAATTGTTTAATACTCTTATCAGTAAAGTTTGGAGGAGTCAAGATAATGATAGATCAAAAAGGGTCTGCCATATGTTTATATGTATGTTTGGTGGTGGTGGTTGTGGCTGTTTGTGTTTGTAATAGGTCAGAGATTTAATTTTCTATATTTAGAAACCATGACAGTTGGCAGTTTTTTTTATGGTGACCCTGATGACTGTGTCTGGTGTCAGTTGACCTGTCAGGCATATGTGAAGGTGCAAATCTGTACTTTACCAAGATCACAAAATCACAGGTTGTGGAATAGTAGTTTTTAGTTTGAAACAAGTAACATTAGGAATTTACCTTAAAATATACAATACATATTGTTTGATTGACCCCATACCACCTTGGTGTGTTTCTTCCCCCTTTTTATTCTACTTATGACACAAATTTATTTATCCATCCATCCCACACAGTAACTGAAGTTCAGAAGTGATTTGTGGCAAATGTACAAAATATATTTCAAGTACTTCTATAATAAAAAATTTTTGTTTGCTGGTTTACATATCCTGTTTCAGACATGTCACACTTTTTTTCACTCCGCAATGCTCACCTCCTATGTACACTGTTCTTTTCAAAATATTTATTTATGAGAAAACTGTCTCTGAAAATACATGCTCATCATACCCGTTTTCCGTCAGTTATGCTCTCTCGTTTGGATGTATGTGATAGATCTTCAATATGTCTCAACCTGTCAGAAACAAATTAGAAGAAAAAAAACATGTCAATGAATTTTATTGGCCTTTTGCGTTTATGATTTATGGCATGCTGCTGTGATGACGGCAGGGGCATTGTGTGATGAATGTGCTGTTACGGTTGTCCGTTTGTTTCTGAGAGGGAGTGAGTCAATGCAATGGTCATGTGACTGGGCTCAATCAACAGTGGGATGTAGTTGACGTGGTGGATGGGGAGGTTATGGACACTCAGGTCATGCTCTCCAGAGGTGTTTACTGAATGTTAATTAGAAATGAGTCACCCGTTTATGCATCAGCATCGGCAGCAGCAGGTCAATGGCCCTGAGATGTGTTTTGACTTTTAAAACCTTATCTATTTATTTTTAATAAAATGTATTTACTACAAATAAAGTAGCTTTTATAAATGTATAACATAATTACATTTTTGCTAGCTAGCAAATGGTGAAAATTGTGAGATTTCTATATAGATTTTAGTTTTAGTAATTTTAGTACTTAAACTTCTATCGTTTCACTTTGCATTTCATTTAGGCTACTTGCCATGGTAACATTTCTAATTTTCGTGTAATTTTATTTTAACTTGGAACCACAATGATATGATGTGTTAATATGAGGTTACTAGGGTGTTAGGTGGTTAGGTTTAGGTTTTATATTTACAATTTTAATTTTAGTTGAAGTTTTAGTAATTTTGCTGTTTTTGTCATTTTATTATTATTTTAAAAATATTTTTTAATTTCTGTTTTAGTAAACAAAGTTTTAGTATTTTCTTTTATAGTATTTTAGTATATTCTGTTTTAGTATTTCAATTTAAACCGTTTACTATCTTATTTCAATTAGTTGCCAATGCAACATTTGTAATTTAATTGTAAGCATAAATTGGTTTTCCTGTAATATTTATATTTCCGTTTTTTTTTTTCCTTCTCAGCTACTATATTACATGAGTAGCAGTGTGATTTTATCAAAAAAAAAATTTTTTTTATGAATTTAATGAAAAACACAAAACTTACATTATTGGAAAATATA